ACCCCAATGTACATGCTATCATGTGGTTAGTAGTCGAAACAAGCAAGCTACTCGACCGTCCAAAAGACTAGCGACAACAACAGGGCCTTGCCGGAGATCGAATCCGGGACCTCTCGCACCCTAAGCGAGAATCATACCACTAGACCACAAGGCCACGCAAACATGAGGCACACGCCTACATGTCACGCAGCTCGCTCCACACTCTACTCTCTTTGCATACGCGTCCCATTCCTCTTCACACCCTTCGGCTTCCACTGCGATGCATAAGCTTGGTCAGCGAGCTCGTACTCCTTTTGTCCCGTCGTGATAGTGCTACAACTTAAAGCACTTGTAAGAGCGTGTTATCTCGTCCTGATCGTGGCGTTAGGCTGTAGGATGTACTAAAAGTGGGTGTAAGCCTGTATGATCACCCCAATGTACATGCTATCATGTGGTTAGTAGTCGAAACAAGCAAGCTACTCGACCGTCCAAAAGACTAGCGACAACAACAGGGCCTTGCCGGAGATCGAATCCGGGACCTCTCGCACCCTAAGCGAGAATCATACCACTAGACCACAAGGCCACGCAAACATGATGCACACGCCTACATGTCACGCAGCACGCTCCACACTCTACTCTCTTTGCATACGCGTTCCATTCCTCTTCACACCCTTCGGCTTCCACTGCGATGCATAAGCTTGGTCAGCGAGCTCGTACTCCTTTTGTCCCGTCGTGATAGTGCTACAACTTAAAGCACTTGTAAGAGCGTGTTATCTCGTCCTGATCGTGGCGTTAGGCTGTAGGATGTACTAAAAGTGGGTGTAAGCCTGTATGATCACCCCAATGTACATGCTATCATGTGGTTAGTAGTCGAAACAAGCAAGCTACTCGACCGTCCAAAAGACTAGCGACAACAACAGGGCCTTGCCGGAGATCGAATCCGGGACCTCTCGCACCCTAAGCGAGAATCATACCACTAGACCACAAGGCCACGCAAACATGAGGCACACGCCTACATGTCACGCAGCTCGCTCCACACTCTACTCTCTTTGCATACGCGTCCCATTCCTCTTCACACACTTCGGCTTCCACTGCGATGCATAAGCTTGGTCAGCGAGCTCGTACTCCTTTTGTCCCGTCGTGATAGTGCTACAACTTAAAGCACTTGTAAGAGCGTGTTATCTCGTCCTGATCGTGGCGTTAGGCTGTAGGATGTACTAAAAGTGGGTGTAAGCCTGTATGATCACCCCAATGTACATGCTATCATGTGGTTAGTAGTCGAAACAAGCAAGCTACTCGACCGTCCAAAAGACTAGCGACAACAACAGGGCCTTGCCGGAGATCGAATCCGGGACCTCTCGCACCCTAAGCGAGAATCATACCACTAGACCACAAGGCCACGCAAACATGAGGCACACGCCTACATGTCACGCAGCTCGCTCCACACTCTACTCTCTTTGCATACGCGTCCCATTCCTCTTCACACACTTCGGCTTCCACTGCGATGCATAAGCTTGGTCAGCGAGCTCGTACTCCTTTTGTCCCGTCGTGATAGTGCTACAACTTAAAGCACTTGTAAGAGCGTGTTATCTCGTCCTGATCGTGGCGTTAGGCTGTAGGATGTACTAAAAGTGGGTGTAAGCCTGTATGATCACCCCAATGTACATGCTATCATGTGGTTAGTAGTCGAAACAAGCAAGCTACTCGACCGTCCAAAAGACTAGCGACAACAACAGGGCCTTGCCGGAGATCGAATCCGGGACCTCTCGCACCCTAAGCGAGAATCATACCACTAGACCACAAGGCCACGCAAACATGAGGCACACGCCTACATGTCACGCAGCTCGCTCCACACTCTACTCTCTTTGCATACGCGTCCCATTCCTCTTCACACCCTTCGGCTTCCACTGCGATGCATAAGCTTGGTCAGCGAGCTCGTACTCCTTTTGTCCCGTCGTGATAGTGCTACAACTTAAAGCACTTGTAAGAGCGTGTTATCTCGTCCTGATCGTGGCGTTAGGCTGTAGGATGTACTAAAAGTGGGTGTAAGCCTGTATGATCACCCCAATGTACATGCTATCATGTGGTTAGTAGTCGAAACAAGCAAGCTACTCGACCGTCCAAAAGACTAGCGACAACAACAGGGCCTTGCCGGAGATCGAATCCGGGACCTCTCGCACCCTAAGCGAGAATCATACCACTAGACCACAAGGCCACGCAAACATGAGGCACACGCCTACATGTCACGCAGCTCGCTCCACACTCTGTAATGGCCTGTATTTGCAGTGGTATGATTCTCGCTTAGGAAAGATCTCCCGGTCTCGCTGATCTGATCGGCCAGCGCTAACATGATATATGTACCCATTGACGTGGTCACTATACTTATTTAAAGTATTGTGACTATGCATATTTGCATAATAATATCAGGCTATAGAGCCAGTAATAGTGAAAAGTATAGGATTAGTGTTTCTATATTTAGTGTTAGAAAATAAACATAAATATAAACCAGTTTCAAACCTGCTCTGTATAGCACTAGTTGCTAGAGCGTTCTATTCCTCCTGAGGAATCAGTATCGTTGATAATAGTCTCTCTGGGACTCGGTTACAACAACCGATAGGCATAAGCTTACGAGCTAGCTTAGGAGGGTTAAGCACCCTAAGACGTGGAAGCTCTCTGAGCTTGTCTTTCTCTGCACATAGTGCATACGTAGCTTTGCTACAGTAGTTTGACTACTTCTTCTGCACATAGTGCATAGGTAGCGTAGCTACAGTACCTCGACTACAGTCCAAATGGTCCAATAAAGTACCACAATGTGTTCAGCTTTATCTTCTGACAATAAAAACAGAAGACTGGAATTACAAACTTTTGAGCGAGGCGAAAAGTCAAAGAAGCTGTCCACACGCGACACACAACCTGTATCGAAAAGTGCGCAACAAACTGATTGTAGCCGTTTAAAGGTGAAGCAAAACACTAATCTAGGATCGAACTCATTCAACAGCGCGTCAAAGCATTTCAGCCATTCCCGAAATATAGTAAGTCTTCAAAACTAACAACAACAACTTGCACTTAAAACCGACTTCTCGTCACTGATTCATAATGCAGCAAAAAACATCTCCACCTGACATTCGTTTATCGTGCCACACTCAAGCCCGTCCGGTTAGTCTGTGCTTACGCGCGTATATATCGCATAGCATGTCATATGAGCCGGACTAAACTTTACGATTAATCTTCCTTACGCAAACGGTACGAGCCCCCCTGTGTCTCCGCCACATGCATTTTCCTTCTTGCCAGACACAAAGTATTGACCATATTTGCGCGCTATCCGCTCGGATTTCTTCGTAGCTGCTGACTTGGAGGCTTACGACTCGTGCAGCTCCTCAAGAATTCGCTGGACTCGTCCTATTACGGGAAGTTAGAAAGTTTTAAGCCGAGACGTGATGCCACGTGTGGTAGGCTGTATTCGACATCTTTCTAATATCAAGTTCTCACTAGCACGGACTTTTTCCTACAAATTGCAAATGATCTGTTTTCGTGCATCTCTATCGACGGATTGAATATGCGAGCTGGCGAACTATCAGTTTGTGATTAATAACGATGAAGTCCAGTAACATTATCTCCTGCGGGTCCAGATGCATGGTGAGAACTAAACTGCTGTGTTTCACTCGTGTTCTTACCCATAGACTTGGCCATTCAAGTCCTACACTAACACTATCAGCTTGTTCTTATGTTGCTTCGCGTTGCCGGTTGCTGCTACAATGGCCTCATATGTGTCTATATTGCACTCGAAGGTAACCAAACGATCATGTCTTATCCACTGCAACGCCACGACATGGCTTTTTGTAAAGTCTTTTTGTCATCAAAATTGTCGCAATAGCACAAGCAGGCCGCTCCCTCACTACGACCGTCTGCACAGCTTGTCGATATTATCAAGGCTACGCATATCTTCGGACAAGTACGTGCGGTTCAGCGAATAAACCCGGATATTAATCCATCTTAGAGATAGACAAAATCCAAGTCTTTCCATTAGGTCCTATCCACTGCAACGCCACGACATGGCTTTTTGTAAAGCCTTTACGCACTTACGTGCAATGCACCCTCTTTTTGTCACCAAAATTGTCGCAATAGCACAAGCAGGCCGCTCCCTCACTACGACCGTCTGCACAGCTTGTCGATATTATCAAGGCTACGCATATCTTCGGACAAGTACGTGCGGTTTAGCGAATTAACCCGGATATTAATCCATCTTAGAGATAGACAAAATCCAAGTCTTTCCATTAGGTCCTATCCACTGCAACGCCACGACATGGCTTTTTGTAAAGCCTTTACGCACTTACGTGCAATGCACCCTCTTTTTGTCACCAAAATTGTCGCAATAGCACAAGCAGGCCGCTCCCTCACTACGACCGTCTGCACAGCTTGTCGATATTATCAAGGCTACGCATATCTTCGGACAAGTACGTGCGGTTTAGCGAATTAACCCGGATATTAATCCATCTTAGAGATAGACAAAATCCAAGTCTTTACATTAGGTCCTATCCACTGTAACGCCACGACATAGCTTTTTGTGAAGCCTTAGCAACGCATCTACGTAAGCCTAGACTTGGAACTATGATCTGCACGTCCGGTCTACAATGTTCGGTGGAGTTGAACATTGCGATACTTAAGACAAAGCTTACAAGTCATGCGACAAATTCGTCCCTCTTCGGGAATCTACCATATGGGATCAAAGGCAACTGGACAACTAGGTTTAGGCTCTGGGTATTAATCATGTCCGCTTATGGGATATAACACAGGATTGTTTAAATATTTTGACTGATGTACGCTAGGCTTTGCGATCGACTTCAAAATAGGCAAGATATTGCTTGCATAATAATACCACAGAAGCATGACGACATGAAAGGACTGGCTGATAAGCTTTGTAGGTGCCAGTTGAAATATCATCTGAACCCCGAGCCATTTAGCTCATTCGGTCAATCATTTTTTAATTTGCTGCCAAGCTCAACAAGTTCAAGTTTCTACAGATGCCATTTGTGTCCAACGCAGGACACGTTTTATACGCGATGGTGCTGACTGCTGCCACACTGCTGGCATGTTCGGCTACGAATGATGCTGCTGCAGAACCGATACATAAAAATTTTCCGCGCAGCTTTTACGCGTCGAACACGGCTCACTACCGAACCTCCACGTCGCGTTACTTAAGATCTAATGCGGACATGGCAATGACTGACCTTGACGAAGAGTCTGAGAGGGGGCCCAATCTCGCGCCTACCCGTGATGTCACTCCTACCGCAACATTTCAGGAAACGCCCATCCGGAAAATTAAAGAGTGGTGGAATTTGATGCAGGATTCAAAGCGCTTCATAGTCGGTACGAAATTTCAAGATTGGTGGCAGCATTTATCGAAAGTAAAGCAGTCAAGGATTGGTAGGGAATTTGAAAAGTGGTGGTGGCTGCTGTCGAGGAAGTCCGACAGATATGTATATAATCGTTTGAAGCTCCACGAGACGAAGATGGAATTATTTGACAGCTTAGACTTACCCCGGTATATTGAGTTTCTCAAATTACGCCATAAGAATTATTATTCTGCAATGCTTACTAGCATGAAGGAACATTACACGAGCAACGAAGCGCTGGTCGGTGTTCTAGTTGCAGGACTAAACGCAAAGGAAGAGGAGTCGCGCGAAATCGCTACTACTCTGTTAAGCTACCAATTGCGTTTGTGGGAATTGGACAGGGGGGGACTTGAGTTGGGAGAGGCTTTTCAGCTTATGAAACTGAGCTCGGTAAAAGCAGACGGGTTTTGGAGTAGCCCCGCTGTTGACATGTGGATCAACTTTAACCCATCATCTTTGAATCCGAATCTGTTGAAAGATAAGCTCAATATTTTGACACAACATTTCGGTGATGACAAAATTGGCGGTGTTCTCTTTGCAGGATTGGGGTCTTATTCAACAGCTACCATTGCACAGCTGCTAAATTTGAAGATCAAGACGTGGAAAGGTGCCAGCATGTCCAATACAGATATTTTTGCGCGTTTGGAAATCAACGATAAGCTGTCTGAACAAGACTTCAATAAGTGGGTTCATTTCATCGATGTACTCAACCCGAATCCAACTTTGCTCGGCAATACCATTTCCATCAAGCTATTTCACACAGAAGAGGAGTATGCTCATGCAATAGTGAGCGGAACGCTCTTCGGTCAAACGGATTTTATTGCTGAACGTCTCATGTTTCTCATGAGAAAAAAGTGGGAAGATGCGAAGCAAAACCACAAGAGTGTGGACGATGTTTTTAAACTTTTGGAACTTGACGAGGTAAGTTTTCATCATTTCAATACCCCGTCTGTAATAAATTTCACAAAATACGCAGCCGCGCGTGGTAAGACCAACGCAGAGATATATGATCGACTCAAGTCAAGCTATAAAGATGACCTTTTGGCGGCGGTACTTCAGGTGGCTGTAAGAAGTGGGAAAGATTCAGATTCAGTAATGCCCCCCTTGCTGAGTCTACATTTCGAGCATTGGATGAAGTCTGGCGTCAACCCGGAGAATATCCCAGAAAAGCTCGAAAAGTTAAAGGCCTCTCATCAAGAAGTGTACAACGAAGTAATTGACGCATACACCAAATTCTATTCTAGCCACAAAACTGAAATTCCATCAAATTAATTTGAGGATTCGGAAATGCAGAAGGCGGAAGAAAAGTAGTTGTGGTTGGTGTTTGTTTTTCGCTGCTTACTCACAGGAAGTAACCTCTTTTTAAATACTCGTGTGCATTTCATCTTGTGTAAATCTGGTTGTCATCTTTGCAACTGATAATACCGGCTGTTATTCTTGTTAAGTGTGCTGCACACTGCCGCATACGTAGAGGAGTGTAAAGAGTAATTGCAAGATGCCTTGTAGGCCAGAACAGTATTCAACAGAATAATCCTTCCATGCCGGTATAACATTTCGTTTTCATGGTCGTAAATGCAATGCACTTATGATGTTGTAGCCGCACCATTTGCATCAAAGAAATGCGTACCAACGAGATCCGTTGCTAAATGTGACGAAGACAGAGTGATGAATGTAGCAAGACACAGGTTGACCAAGGGCAAATTACGGAATTTATCCCGGAGAATCGACATTGTCTGTAAGCAATATGCTATTTCGTCTTTTTCTCCTGTGCGCTGTTTCCTGGACCGTGTGCAGTTTCACCTCACTGTCATGAAAGGTGAGCTCAAGACATCATCATGCCAAGGGATGGTCAACGGGTGCACGACGTCAGCTACTTCCAGCCCATGCTTTTTGATTAACGTTTATAATATGTCTTTCTCCACACAAGCAGGTTTGATATCATTGGTTGCAACGTCCACATGCCTGTAAATACTAGACCCCAAGGGAAGCGCTACGATCGACCGAACATAAAGAAGAATTTCCATAGAATGCGCAAAACCACGGTAATAGACCTTCTGGCGCTTGCCAAATGGATGATCTACGATATTATGGACGACCCATACCACTACCGAGGGCAAGTACAGCGAGACTTATTCTTATATATATGTTCGGGCAACTTATCTATGCAGAATGCGACAGCTTAGATGGCCATATTACAAAGCGCATCTTATCGAGTATGGAAAAAACCGTCGAGTTCATGACTCCACTGTGACCACTTGGTCACGACAGAAAAGGTTAAAACACTGAATTGGATGGCATAATCATCAACATGGAGGCCTACGACTTCTCGCGTCGGCTGAAGCAAAGTTTGGTATGAGTTTTTGAAAACCTGGCATCTTTTTGTCCACCAGATTGTTTAAATTTTTGTTTCTTCCGTGGGGATCTCATGGTTGGACCAACTTTCACAAGCCTAACGTGCTGGTGGCGGTGTTGCTGTGATGGACGGACTTTAAAGGCTTAGTGTAACGTACACAAGGTGTGTGTATTATATACACCTGCCACACTATTGTGGTGTGGCTGTACTTTAGGGATTAATGTGACCGTACCGATAAGAACAATGGGTTCACGTTGCATTGTACTTGAATAAAAACTATGTATATGTGGTGGAGTGGGTTTTCAAAACTGCGCCAAGACCCAAGCCACTCACTGTGCCGGACTGCCGACTGTCGGAAGGGGTACCCCAATGCCGCGTATAGACCTTCTCTCACCTTGTGTACCCGTCGGCTGGCGAGTTGCACTCTTCGGAGGACTTGGTTGAGCTGTGGTGTCGGCCTTGAGAGAGGTCAACCTCGAAGTGCCTCGAGTGGATATACTTCACTCGGTAGGCGAGTATATGTCCACTGGTCGACTAGGTCAAGGGTGGACTAATAACCAAATTCTTCAAGGGAGATTCTCAACAACTCTGGCCTTTTCCTTCCTTGATATCTCAGGGGTGTTAACCGGCTGGCCTTTACTTGCTCCCGGACCACTAGGGTAGGGACACCGCTTCCGATACCGGATTGAGTTGGGAGGCGCTGCTCATGAGAACTCACAGGCCAAATGTAACCTGCTCGCTCTTGGGTGTTACCCCACAACTGTCTTCGACGGGGGGGTCAAAATATATCCCTATGGTCGCAGGAAGGTTTGAGCCTGAAGACTTGTTTTTCCTGGGGTTCAACAATATCAAGACCACGTTAGAGATTCTACACAAACGTCTGGGTATCCTTGTGGGAACAATCCCAGTACTACTCGACTCACCTCCTGCGACCGCCACAAAAGCACCGTCTGACGACAGCCACATGAACCTGCAAGATATCGAGGTCCACCCTCGAGAGCAATGGTCGACCGAGGACCCATGGTCTATGCGAGGTCTATCACAGACTACCCTGCCTCAAGGTCTTCAGGTCTCTGCAAGGCAAACATCGCGAGGGTCACCCGTCGCTAGTCACGTGGGCCGAATGCCACTAGGACCTACTGGCATGTCGCTGCTGCAGGCCCGAGCGGAGAGCGCGGACGACGAGCAGCGAGCTCACGAAACGGCCACGTGTGTACAGCCAAGGGAAAGTCGGGCTTCTGATAGGTCGAATCTTCAACCAATCCGAAATGAGCCAAGACCAGTACCGATTTATACCTCGTCACGTGACAAAGTTGCCCGGGGAGGAGTGCCTACCAACCCGGTAGGTAATTTACATGCATACTTCGGCGCGGCGATGGCAAAATTCTTACAAGAACGCCAATTACCGCCAAGACACATCGACGGAAATGCGGCCAGAGGATGACAGAGGGCGCAGAGGTCAACGGCTTAGCTGGGCCCAAGTGCAGGTATGCAAGTTGTAAGAGACCAGGGGATGACCGACGTGGAGATGGAATCGGTCGGGTTGTGTGAATACGACCCAGATGACATGGACCTCGATGGATCTCTGGCGAGAATGGCTAACGCCACTCTGGGACAGGTGCCCAACATGGTATTAAGCTCTCAGTGACCTCGGATCTCAAGGAGTTTCATGGTAAAGACCTAGATGAGGACCGAGCACGCAGCTGGGTGAGCACTGTGAAGACCGCGTTCACGAAGGACCAAGCGCCAGATGGGGAGAAGTGTCTCGTTTTTTTGGAGGAATATTGACTGAACCTGCCCAGAACTGGTATCGTCAACTAAGTCGCTCTGTTCGTGGGATTAGAACGATTTGTTACAAGAATTCCAGATGCAGTTCTGTGGTTTGGGGGTGCCAGTGGCCCGCCAATACGGACACGCAAAGAAAAGGTCGCACGAATCCCCTTGGACTACCTATACCGTCTGAATGTCATTGGACTTCGAGCGAAGATCAAGATCAAGGATGGGCCGCCCAAGATTCAAAAGAAACATGTCGAACACTACATCGAGCGAGACCTTGGAAGATCCCGACCTGGCGGACCAGTTGACCGTGTTACGTTTGGCTGATGTGAAAGAGCTGAAGGATGTGCTGAGGGAGCATCAACGGGCGAAGGCTCGACGGGGCAAGATGTTATTTGGGTCAGGCAAGTTTCGCCAGAAAACACCGATTACCCCTGATCGGCCAAGAGAGTTGAATCGCCGCTCTGTCCATGCAGTTCGAGCGACCCAGGAAGGATCAAGCTTCGAAGACTCCAGTTTAAACAGTTCAAATAGTGACGGTAACCTACGGAAGGTCTACCTCATGGCCACAGAGACGGAGAAGGACCTAGGGTCAAGGACCCCGAGGGACCGACCCATCAGAGAGGTCAATTAGCTTCGATTCTACCTTGAACGACTAAGGTCTACCAACGAGTGCCCAGGGCAAACCTCGAAAGACCAAAGTCTTCGAATGATTGACCAGTGTCAACCTTGGAAGGCCAGGGTATGACTACCGAGGGCCCGAGGTCTGCTCACTATAGACTCTGGTTGACCATCCAAAACCCTTGGCTTTAGACTTTACTCCTCCCTGCGTTTGTATTTCTTCGACACGATTGTTTCTTGTCTCTTTGCGTTTGATATCCCGAAGTAAGAGTTTGCAATTCAAATCCGCTTCATCCACCCACGAGGGGTCTTCATACCTTTTCCATCGGACAAGGAGCTCTCGTTGTTGTCTCCCGTAGCGTTTTTTCTTTCCAGTGCGGGCTTCCAAAATCTCCTCGACCTCGTACCATCCTTCCTCCAGCTTTCTTGCCCAACTGTCCTCCAGTATTGAGTATTCATCGAAGTCGAGCCAATCTATTTCGTCTGACTCTAATGCGGTACTCAAACGGTCGGGGAAATCTCTATCCCTTTTGAGTTTGGATAGATGTACTACAAGGAATTTTCTGTGCTCCGTACTTCTAGTTTCCAAGCGCACTGCGCGTTCTCCCACCAACTCTAGAACTCGAAATGGTCCATGTCAGAGGTGGGCCAATTTCTTGGCGTATCCTCTTTAACCCGGTACAGGTAGAGCCACACTTGAGTTTCCGGCTGAATCTTGTAGTCAACCACCCCTTCGTTATGGGCTAGGATCCAAGCTTGACTAGCCGCTGGTAGGTTCTCATTCACATGGGCTCTCGCCCGATGATAATTTTGCTGAATATGATATCTCCATCTGCGCGGTCCAGATCCTCTACGGCGCGTATTATTACAGATAATGTAGCTTCGAGGGTAGTTCTATCATCCAACCATGGACCAGATAGAACGGCGCATCCTTCCAGACTCGGTCTTGCGCGGTGTTCATCGCAAACGTTAGTCGTTCTGCATACTCGTCCCAATCCTGCTGTCCGACATCCGAGACATACATCTTAATGGACCTAGCCAGGGTCTGAACCATCCTCTCCGCGGTACCATTTGCCTGAGGTCGATATAATGGTAGCCTGTTGATGCTGGTCCACCATGCGACTAAACGCCCGAAAGAGGAATCCGACATAAATCCTAGTTCTAGATCGTGGCGGAGTGCCTTGCTAGCACCAAAACGGTGAAAAACGCATTCTTCTTACCCTCAGCTACCGTCTGGGCCGTTCGCGACGCACTAGCCTTAGTCATCACGTACCCCGTGAACAGGTCGACCCAAATTAGTAACTCGGTATTTCCTCTGTGCGACCTGGGTAGATAGGGAATATGATCCATCGCTATAATCTGGAAAGGGTATGTTGCTTCGACATTTTCTGGAGTCTTGCCCTGCAAGGTAGGTCCTCCTTTCCTTATCTCTCAATCCACACATTTCCCCACATACCTCTGTACGCTTCAGAATAAACCTCTCCAATGACAGTACCGTCTGATTTGGTGATAGGTACGCCCA